ATAGCGAAGCCCCCTGAATCTCAGTTGGATTTTAACAAGAACCTGCAGTGCGAGTTGCACTAATAACCAACAGACTGACTGTGTATGCAAACACCTGTATTGAGGTGAGACAATATAGAAATATTGGAGTGATCAGGAACACTGGGCCTGGTGCATAAAGGTGTGGGTTCAAGTCCTACTTAGAAGATGCACAAACCTAAGAAAGTTATAGAGACCTCTCTGTGCCTCAGTTCCCTGTTCTGAGGTATTGAAATGTTAATATGGCCTATGTTATGTTATGTTATGTTATGTTACGTTATGAGGCTAAAAGTAGTGAAATGGAGGTAAAGTCTTTAGAAGACTGGTGATTCGTAAGTGCCCTGAAGTGTTCAATGATTATATGTCTAGAATAATATGCCAGAACCTTGGTAGTGGTTGAATACAGAGAAGAAACGTGGGTGGATCCAGGGCAGTGGAGGATGGAATTTTCTTTCTTTCCATGGGTATGATGCTTTACAGCTCACGGAGAATATCCATTATTTCCTGTGATGCTTACATCAGCCTGGAGGAATGCACAGAGTAGGGACTACAACCCATATTTGACAGCCCAGGGAAGTGAAATGGAAAGATTTGAAGTGGTCTGCCCAGAGTCACAGCACTGATGAGTGATGGATCTGGCACAAGAAGGTAATTGGTTTTCTGGGGACTGAGGTCTCTGAAGACCCAAGACCTTGAAATAATTACCTGAACCCTGAACAAAGAGTTGTTTTCACTTGCTTTCTCAACTGCTCCTACCCCAGAATTTCTTCAGAAATCTAATGCCCTGGAAGAGGTGGCTAAGTCAAAAGAAGAGCTGAAACAATAATAAAAAAAGAATCTTTCAACCTAAACAATAATAAAAAAAGAATCCTTCAACTTCTAGGTTTTAATCCCTGACCTCACCTTGCAGTATAAGCCACCTTATAATCAGCTGACCATCCTAAGGGACCATGGTCTGCTTGGCCCTGTATTAGTCCATCCTTGCATTGATATAAAGAAATACTTGAGAATGGGTAATTCATAAAGAAAAGAGGTTTAATTGGTTCGTGGTTCTGCAGGCTGTAGAGGAAGCATAGTGGCATCTGCTTCTTGGGAGACTTCCAGAATCTTTCAATAATGGTGGGATGTGAAGGGGAAATAGGAATCTCACATAGCAGCAGCAGAAGCAAGAGAGAGTGAGAGCAAGATGTCCCATACTTTTATGCAACCAGATCTTGTGAGAACTCACTTTTGCAAGGACAACACCAAAGGACTGGTGCTAAACCATTCATGAGAAAACTACCCCCATGAGCCAGTCACCTCCCATCAGGCCCCACCTCCAATATTGGGGATGACATTTTAACATGAGATTTGGGAAGGGACACATATCCAAACAATATTATTCCACCCCTTGCCACTCCCAAATCTCATGTCCTTCTCACATTTCAGAATACAGTTATGCCTTCCCAACAGTCTCCCAAAGTCTTAGCCCATTCCAGCATTGTCTGAAAAGTCTGAAGTCCAAAGTCTCAAATCTCTTCCACCTGTAAAATAAAAAACAAGTTAGAGTTACTTCCAAAATACAATGGGAGTACAAGCATTGGGTTACAAACCCTATTCCAAAAGAGACTAATAGGCCAAAAGAAAGGGGCTACAGGTTCAATGCATATTCAAAGCCCAGCAATGCAATCATTAAATCTTAAAGCTCCATAATAATCTCCTTTGACCGCATGTCCCACATCCAGGGCATTGGTGCAAGCAGTGTGCTCCTGAGGTCATGGGCAGCTCTGCTTCTGTGGCTTTGCAAGGTTCAGCCCCCAAAGCTGTTCTCATGGGCTGGAGTTTAGTGCTTGCAGTTTTTCTATGTGCAGGGTTCAAACTGCCAGTAGATCTGCCATTCTGGGGTCTGGAGGATGGTGGCTCCGCTAGCAAATGCCCCAGTACAGACTCTGTGGGGGCTCCAACCCCACATTTTTCCTCTACAGCACCCTAGTTGAGGTTCTCTGTGAGGGCTCCACCCCTGCAGCAAGCTTCTGCCTGGACACCCAAGCTTTTCCACACATCCTCTGAAATCTAGGTGGAGGTGCCAAGCCTCACTCACTCTTGCATTCTGTGCACCAGCAGACTTAACACTATGTGGAAGCCATCAAGGCTTATGACTTTAACACTTGTCAGAGCAACAGCTTAAGTTACCCCTGGACTCCTTTAAGCCACAGCTGGATCTGGAGTTGCCAAGAGACAGGGAGCAGAGTCCTGAGGATGTGCAGGGCAGTGCAGACCTGGGCTTGACCTCCAAAACAATTCTTCCCTGGGCCTCTGATCCTGTGTTTGGATAGGCTGCCTCTGAGGTTTCTAAAATGCCTTCAAGGCTTTTTATTATCTGGACTATCAGCACTTGCCTTCTTTCTAGTTATACAAATTTCTCTAGCAGGTGGTTACTCAGCAGCCCACTTGAATTCTTCTGAAGACAGGCTTTGTTTTTTTGTTTTTGTTTTTTTTGGTTTTTTTCCTACCACATGGCCAGGCCGCAGGATGCAAATTTTCCAAATTTTTGTGCTGATTACCTTTTAAATGTGAGTTCCAACTGATTTATTTGCTTCCACATCCAAGCATAGGCTGTTAGAAGCAGTCACACCAGTTTTTTTGTTTTGTTTTGTTTTTGAGACAAGGTCTCATTGTGTCACCCAGGCTGAAGTGCTGTGGCACGATCATGGCTCACTGCACCCTAGACTTCCCAAGCTTAGGTAATTGTTCCATCTCAGCCTCCTGAGTAGCTGGCACTATGGGCTCATGCCACCACACCAGGTATTTTTTTATATATTTTTAGTCAGAGATGGGATTTTGCCATGTTTCCCAGGCTGGTCTTGAACTCTTGGGCTCAAGCGATCTACCTGCCTTGGCCGCTCAAAGTGCTAGAATTACTGGTGGGAGCCACCATGCCTGGCCCATGCCACTTCTTGAACACTTTGTTGCTTAGAAATTTTTTTGCCAGATACTCTACAACATCATTCTCAAGTTCAAACTTCCATAGATCCCTAGGACATGGATGGAATCCAGCCAAGCTCTTCGCTAAGGCATAACATGCATGACCTTTGCTCTAGTTTCCACTAAGTTCCTCATGTCCATCTGAGACCTCATCAGCCTGGACTTCACTTTCCATATCACTATCAGCAGTTTGGTCACAATCATTTAACCAGTTTCTAAGAAGTTCTAAACTTTCCCTCATCTTCCTGTCTTCTTCCAAGTTCTCCAAACTCTTTCAACCTCTGCCCATTACCCAGTTCCAAAGCTGCTTCCACATTTTCAGGTACCTTTATAGTAATGCCCCACTCCTTGGTACCAATTTTCTGCATTTGTCCATTCTCACATTGCTATAAAGAAATTCCTGGCCAGGCATGGTGGCTCATGCCTGTAATCCCAGCACCTTGGGAAGCCAAGGTGGGCAGATCACGAGGTCAAAAGTTGAGACCAGCCTGACCAACATGGTGAAACCCTGTCTCTACTAAAAATGCAAAAATTAGCCGGGCATGGTAGCACATGCCTGTAATCCCAGCTACTCAGGAGGCCAAGGCAGGAGAATCACTTGAACCCAGGAGGTGGAGGTTGCAGTGAGCTGAGATCACGCCACTGCACTTCAGCCAGGGTGACAGAGCGAGATTGTCTCAAAACAACCCCCCCACCAAAAAACAAAACAAAACAAACAAACAAAAAATTCCTGAGACTGGGTAATTTATATAGAAAAGAGATTTAATTGGCTCAGTGTTCTGAAAACTTTACAGGAAGCATGATACTGACATCTGCGTGGCTTCTGGGGAGGCTTCAGGAAACTTAGAATCATAACAGAAGGCTAAGTGGGAGCATGCACATCACAAGGCCAGAGCAGGAGCAAGGTGGGAGGAGGGGTCACACACTTTTAAACAACCAAATCTCACTGTTGCAAGAATAGCAACAAGGGGATGATGCTAAACCATTTATGAGACATACACTCTTGTGACCCAGTCATCTCTCACCCAGTCATTTCCAATACTGAGGATTACAATTCACCATAAGATTTGGGCAGGGACACATATCCAAACTGTTTCAGCCCCCAAGATGGTTCAGAACTCAGGACATTTTAAACCAATTGCCACTTGAAGGCTGTGCCAAGAATCAACTTCCATTCAACTGGCCAACCCTTCATGAGCAGCTAATTGAAATTAACTGAAAATATGGCTATCTGGACTGATGCTTTAGTGGTTTAATGAATTAAATCTATGACCCCAACTCTCTCACTGACTTAATTGAGCAACTATCTGAACAACCTGGACTGCGGCATACTTGAGAATGAGAAGTGCCTAAATAAAGTCTATTTAAATAATTTGGAAGTCAAACTTGATGAAAAAGATACTTGAATTTAATTAGACACAGGCACAATGTATTCAAGGTCATGAGTGAACACTGTATTATAGAGGAATGTAAACATGAAAACTAGCACCTTGAGTAGGCGGATATATGGCTCCTAGTATTAGGTTGCTGCAGTAATTGCAGTTTTTGCCGTTGAAGGTAATGGGAATTACAATTACAATCCTGTTGAAAGTAATGGCAAAAACCACAATTACTTGTGCACCAACCTAATAATAGCATGGTAAATTTCCTGATTACATGCAACAATTCAGACTTATCAAAAAGTTAAGAGTATAAAATGTTGCATCTGAGAAAAAATTTTTTTGACCTTTGAGATCAATATTTTCGTATTATAAAAGCAGAAATAGAATGTGAGAGAAAAGTTAAAAGCTGATGGAAAAGTTGAAGGACAAAGTTACCATTCTAGCCAAGTAAAAAGATATACCTTTTGAAGGGGAAAATAAACAGAGGGTAATGACGTGTGACCTGTAAATAATGTGTAAAAAAATATAGTAAAGGTTGAACTTCTGAGATATGAATCTCAAAAGTTTTAAAAAGAAACAGATTTGAGAATTAAAAATTATTACTGCGTGTAATCTCATTGAGAACAAACCTTTGTTTTTTTTTTTTTTCCTGGCTCCAAAGATCCCTTACTGATACCCACTTGAAACACTTTGGTCCTTAACTTGTTAACTGAGTTGACAGGCTGATGGCTGATCTAGATAAAAGTTTCATGGTAGCAGAAACACTTCCTGCCTATAATACATCAAAACAAGTTCCTGAATAATGTGTGTGAATGTCATCAGGGTCTCTTTCCCATCTTCTTCAGGGTTCTATTAAGCTCCTCGAATTTGTGAATCTGACAGATGAAGAAATTCCCATAGCCCCTGGCGACCTTGGTGTACGCAATGTGGATCATGTCCTTATCAATGTAGAAGTCAGCCTCTGAGGCTGACTGAAATTCACCATCCAGGATTGAGATGCCACTGGTCCACACCAGGTTCTTCATCTTGTATTTGAAGACAAGAAGCTGGATCCTGAACTCCTGCTCTGTGAGGTCCAGGAAGCCAGCCAGCTTGGCCACAGGCATGGTGGTGTAGAGCTTGAGGAAGCTGCAGATGGTTGAAAGCTGGGCCTGCTGCTGTACTTCATCTGAAAACACCTTCAGTTGCTGCAGGAAGGGCTCTTTGTGGTAGTTGGGGTGCACATTATCATAGTTGGGCACTGCAGACGACAGGAATTTGGGTCAGGAGTAACTGAAAAGTTCTTCACAGACTTGTGGGTCACCTTTCTGCATGTGCAGCATCTTGTCCCTGTATTTCTCCTGCAGCTGGAGGTGAATGCTCTCATCAGTACTCATGGGATACATCGTGAGGGCAATGGCCAGCAGTGCATGCATCTGCTCATTCTGCTTGTTAATCATCTCATACTTGTATGTGGTCCTCTGGAACATGCTCTTGGTCCTCTGGATGTAGAGGAGGATGCTGGTAAAGACCCAGGTGGCATCCTGGTAGCAACACATCATCAAATATGCAAAGCCGACATAATAGTATGTGGTGACCTGGCACTCCGGCACATGGGAATACATACTCTTTGATAAG